AAGGAGAAAGGAAGGGGAAGTAGAGAAGAAAAGGATGATGGAGGGAAGAAAGGAGGTAGGAGAGAGCTAGAAGAAAGAGGTGTATGGAGAGGAGAAGAGCTAATAATGGGTTTTTATCTTTCTGGGCGTTGATGACAAGAGGAACTGATGTAATTACTACTTAATACAATAGGATATTGGCTATGTAATAGTATACATGTGGATTATATGTTATGAAAATGGAAAATAAAAAAGTATATTATATTTTAAAAAAAGGATGACTTTGGCTTTCTAGAAAGAATGTTGTTATGGCTGCATATCATCTAACTCCATACAACCCTCCCATTTTCCCACGGCAGAAAATGCTAGCAGAATAATAGAAAGTGTGGCAGGCTAAAGACCCAAAAGAAAAGGACTGCTCAGCTCCAGAAGATTCAAGAAGTCCACCCAGGGCTGTTCCAGCTGATTTAGGCTTTGGTGCTGGACGGAACTCGCTTCGGGCAGCTCCAGCCTTGGAGGGTTGATGGCCATTTCAAGGCTGCAGGGGGGGGGGATGGAATGGAGAAGGCTGACAGCATCAATTGGAGCAGCAAGCCAGGTTCTCACCTCCGTCACCTTCACGTCCCCGCCAGAAATTGGAAAACCGGGATGCACATCTCGCTCAGCCGGGGTTTGCAATCAAAAGGACTGCGAGGGAGCAGAGATAATCAGGCCACCGGTAACGAGAGACGGAGGCCGGACCTGCTCGATGGAGAGAGACAGACAGGAGGGAAATTAAAGTTTTAAAGCCTCTTCGGAAAAGCACAGATTCCCTGGAGGCCCAGAACACGTTTCGTTTCCTTCCGCCAAACAAGGTTGGAACCGTTCCAGGAATGAGATTTGGGGCAATACACCGGAGCAACACATACAGGGGGTCCTCAACTTACAACCCTTCATTTACTGACCGCCCGAAGTTGCAACTGCACTGACTATTTTTCACACTTGGAACTCTTGCAGCTTTCCCGTGGTCGTGGGAACAAAATTCAGACAGTTGGAAACTGACTTGTATTTATGACGGTTGCAGCCTTTTGCAACCTTCCGACAAGCAAAGTAATGGGGAAGCCAGATTCACTTAACGACCATGTTGCTAATTTAACAACTGCAGTGATTCACTTAGCAGCGGTGGCAAGGAAGGTTGTAAAATACTACTCAATGATTATTATCATCAACAACTACCAGCACTAATGATGTTACCTAGTTGGGTCATGAAAAGTCTGGAAGAAAGGAATCAAGCTTGGAGAGTACCAAGGACCTTACAGTCCACTACTTCCTCCTCCTCCTCCTCCTCCTCCTCCTCCTCCTCATCATCATTATTATCTCCTCCTCTTCACAAGCTCCATTCTGCTCTAGTGCTGCTGATGTTACGTAGTTGGGTCATTAAAGGTCTAGAAGAAAACCACCAAGCTCAGAATGCATCAAGGATCCCACAGTTCTTCCTCCCCCTCTTCTTCTTCCTCCTCTCTGCAAATCCTTCTCCCTTCTAGCATCTTCTAGTTACCTAGTTTAGGTTATGAAACATCTGTAAGGAAACCACCAAGTTTAATGTTAATATGATGTCATTATTAGAAGATATCAAGAAGAAAAATGGAGAGTTTTATTTAAATGCTCAATATATTATAATACTAAACTTAGGGAAATAATGTTAATATGACTGTGAAAGATGTAGTAAATAAGGAATGAAGTTGCACAGAGATGTTTAATGTTTATTTTTGTAATTGAAAAATAATAAAACTTTATAAAAAAAGAAAAGCAATAGCAATAGCAGTTAGACTTATCTACCGCTTCATAGGGCTTTCAGCCCTCTCTAAGCGGTTTACAGAGTCAGCAACTTGCCCCCACAGTCTGGGTCCCCATTTCACCCACCTCGGAAGGATGGAAGGCTGAGTCAACCCTGAGCCTGGTGGGATTTGAACAGCCAAACTGCAGTCAAGCAATAGCAATA